CCCCAGCCCCGCCGGGTCCGAGGCGCGGGCAGCAGCGATACTGCCATTCAGGTCTTGACAGGGACTTCCCGAGAGCAATCCTTCCCGTGCGCACAAGAGCTAAACTTCATTTTAAAAGTAAAAGAATCGGGAAATTCGCTTCCAACGGGTACCAAAGGCATTATAACACATCAGATATGGTCAACATGTGCCCAGGAATTTAATCCGAGAAATTGAACTACACGTGGGATGAATTTTCACCAGCAAATACGATTAGACGTTCAAAAATAGGAGAAATAAGCCAACTTTCAGAATCGCATTAAGGAACAGAAATTCAAATCATGACTTGCCTTTACTACAGCCTGTGCTACTGGGAGAATCCACACCTGCCTCCTCTCATTTTCCTTCTCCATCTGTCCTTGTAACGTTTCGCAAACTCCACTATCACTAAATACACTAAGAGATTATGTATAACTTCTAGTGTGCCAATATTTTACTCAGGGCACAGGAATAACAGTGCGTGGCACACACAGGATATGTCTTAGCATTAGGCTTGCTCACCATATGGAGGTGTAAGTTTTCATCTTTATGATAAGACTAGAGGCCCGGTGCATGAAAATTCATGCACTGGAGGGGGTTCCCTCAGCGGGGCCTGCCCCCTCTCACAGTCGGGAGCCCTCAGGGGCGGGAAGCCACCCGGCAATCAGGGAAAGGCGAAGCCCCATCACACCTTTGTTGCTGCCACTGCCGGCAGCACAAGCCTCTGACGGCCCTGGTTACTTGAGCCTTGGGCGGCCTTGGTTACCTGAGCCTCAGGCTGGCTCTGGGCAGCTGGGGAGTCACCATCCAAGGCTTGCCTGTGCCTTGGGCCAGCCCTGGCGGGAGGCTGAGGGGACTGGGTGCTGCCATCTTTGCAATGGTGTGAGGGCCAATTAGCATATTTCCTCTTTATTAGATAGGCTAAGAGATGGTGACTGAAGCAAAACATTGGTAGCCAGTCTCTCCCTGATAGTTTTCCCTCTTAATTGCACCATAACTCAGTAGCTAAAGGGCTTAGTTTCCTCTTACCTTAGTTGTTGAGCTGGAAACGTGAAGAAAAGGGCAACAGGAAGGCAGGGGAGGAGGAGTGGGGGAAGTAAGGGTTTGTGGTGCATTTGAGCTGCGGTTCCCAAAGTAAACTTTCAAATGGTTGTAAGAGAGCATGTAAAATACTTGGTTTAGGCCAGCCGGTGTGGCTCAGTGATTGAGCGTCAGCCTATGAACCAGGAGGTCACGGTTTGATCCCGGGTCAGGCACATGCCTGGGTTGCTGGCTCGATCCCCAGTAGGGGGTTTAGCCGATCAGTGATTCTCTCTCATCATTGATGTTTCTGTCTTTCCCTTCCTCTCCCTTCCGCTTTCTGAAATCAATAAAAAGATAAATATAAATAAAATACTTTTTGTAAGCTTTTGTGAATTGTCAGTTGCTCTGGTCTAGCCAGAGCTGCTTAAGGTACAAAGAAAAAGCATGAAATGAAAGAAAGAATGAAACATATTTCTAGAAAACATATATCACTTTGCATACCTGCTGCTTCTGTTGCATATCATGGAAATCCACTTTTCTGTACTCCTTCAAAAAATGTTATTTTTATCACAGGATTGATTTATGTCCTCTAAGCCTACATAGTAATTAAAAATAATGCCTGAGCTATGCATTTCCTCCTCTATCAGCACCAAAGAAGAATTTCTTACCAAGAAGTCAAAAATATACAACAACCAACCTGGTTCAACCCAACCCATTGGTGCAAGGAGCAAGCTTTTGTGATCAATCATTTTTTGGTAATATTATTACAAAGGCTTATTTTCTAGCTTTATTTTAGCTCCTGTAAATGAAATTTAAAATTTTGTCTGCACTGCCTTGCATTAATGATAGAGGTAGCTACAGATATGAAGATATATGAAGGAAAGAGAAATGAAATTAACAACTATAAAACATACCCTATGGAGTTGTTTCATTTAGCTTTTCTTTAGGGAGATGATGCGTGTGTTTTTAAGGACACACTGACTTTACATTACAGATGGAATATTTTTGAAAACTTGGTTTGTAAACTAATTATTTAGAATTTAAATGAACTTTTCCATAGAAACAATGATATAAACAGAAACAGAACCACAACTAATTAGCTGGAAATGAGGCAGAGATGGTTTTCTTCCTGTCCTTTCTGCTTAGCTCAATCACTTGGCATCCCAGAGTCTTTGTGGCCGTGCACACTGGGAGAGAACTGGCTGCAGTGGTGGCGGCAGCAGTGGCAGCTCCTTTATATCTGGGTCAGGGCTACGCTGGGGCGCTCTTTACCGCAATAGCTCCGGAAGGCACCTGCCTTCTGCTCCACCAGCTCTTCAGTGATTTTTGTCAGCCCCTTCGCAGAGTTTTGCTCTTATCTGATAAGTTGATGAAGTGGATTTCTTCCCCAGGCCGAAGGCTCCTCCACATACATCCTTTCCTTCACTGATTTTTCTTTCCTCTTTTTTTTTTTGAAAGGCTCATAACCTTCCCTCAACCTGGAAGGCTCTTGCATCAGATTTGACTACACAAATTTTTGGCTCAAGGTTATTATGATACCAGATCAAAGTGTCTATGTATTTTGGTGTTTACTTCATGTAATACTGAAATGTTAGTATTAATATAGGTATTTTAATAACCGAGATATTGTCAGCCTCGGTTTTTTACAATTTGTCATTAGATGCCACTCCACCTGAGAGAAAACTAAGGTTCCTGTGCCCTTTTGGCCTAGGTCTTTCCAGGTAGGATGGTTGACAAAGGAAGCCTGATTAAAATCAAGTATCCTAGGAAAGAAGGACTTTAAAGAATGGACCAAGTCTCGAAGTAGGAGTCAGGCCTCTCAGAGAAGTAAGCTAAGGAGAGAGGCAAAATGCCCAAGGAACTGAAGGCAGGGCACAGTTACCCTACATGAGTGTTGGTAATTGTGTGCATGAGGGATGATCTGAATATGTTTACAGCTGTGAGGGTCTTGTTGTACGAGAGCCTCTGCCCCGTTGCACCGCTGGGAGGCTAACCCCCAGTCCATTTATTAGACGTCTGTAATGTGAGTGGCATCCACTTAGATGCAGCAGTTCACAGCCTTGCTTTCCTGGAGCTTAGAGAGGTCCCATGATCCTTAGATTGATCTTTAGCCTTAAGGTCTTTATGGTTAGCAAAGTAATGTGTACTTAAGAAAATGTAGAAATATAGAAAGATCTAAAGAAGAAAACAAAAGCATTTGAAATCCCACACTGAGGAATATTTTGTTGTAAAATATAAAAATTTGGTACTACTGCATTAATATATTTTTATGTTTGTGCATATGTGTTATATATACACAGGGATATGTTTTTAACACGTTTTAAGGTAGTATTTGAATTTGGTATCTTGTTTTATCTACTTAGCGTATTTTGTCATTTTTTCCATGTTATCAAAAATTGTTTTTAAAAATTATATCTAGGGCTGCCTAATAGTTTACTCCTCCAATACAACACACTGACGTTGCTTTAAATTTCCTTTTATAAATAATGCTGTCATGAAAGTCTTTGTTTGTAAATCCTCACAGTTCTACTTTGGAATAGATTCCTAGAAGTGAAAAAACTAGGTCAATGAGTCAAACTCTGAAGCCTTTCAAAACATCCTAAAGCATTGCATTCAAGAAAGGTTACAGCAATGTATACTTCTATCATTGGTATATTCGAGTGCTGATTGGAAACCATCCATGCCAGCAAAGAACAATATAATTTATAAATTAATCTTGGCCAGTTTCCTAGGCAAAAACTATCTTACTGTTGTAAGACATTGCTGTAGAGGTTTTCTAAACCATGTACAGGGATGGGCATAAGTAGGATTACAGTTTATATAGAAAAAGATAAATAAAAAAATAATAATACAATAATAAATAAGACAACTCACAACTGTAAACCTACTTTGGCCCACCCCTGTGTGTGTATACACACATTTGTATTTCATATATATAAACATTTGTATTTCTTTTTTGAATATGTTTTTATTGATTTTAGAGAGAGGAAGGGAGAGGAAGAGAGAGAGAGATAGAAACATTGATGAGAAACACAGATCATCCGCCTCCCACATGCCCTCCCACATCCCCTCCTCTCTTCTCCCCCTTTTCTCTCTCCCCCAGGGATAGAGCCCACAACCTGGGCACATACACTGATTGGGAATCAAACTAGTGGCCTCTTGGTGTCTAGGTCAGTGCTCAACCACTGAGCCACACCAGGAATATTTTTTGACCATTTTCCTTTTGGAATTGTATTTATCCCTTATTTCACATTGATTATAAATAATTTTTTCTGTTTGCTGTTTACTTGATAACTTTGTTTATGATGTTTTGGATTTAGAAATCCAATACACTTTTATTAGCTAAAGGAATTTTTTTGGTAATTTCATACATATCACTTACATATAAACACAGTACTCTCTCCACATATATACAAGGTATCTATATATATTTGTTGTGGGCAAACTTTTTGACTCGAGGGCCACAATGGGTTCTTAAACTGGACCGGAGGGCTGGAACAAAAGCATGGATGGAGTGTTTGTGTGAACTAATATAAATTCAAAGTAAACATCATTACATAAAAGGGTACAGTCTTTTTTTTTTACACTGGCCGGACCCGGCCCGCGGGCTGTAGTTTGCCCACGGCTGGTTTAGAGCATTCTTTTTAATTCTACAGTTAGTTAAATACCCACCAATTCTCTCTCCTCTTCTTCTCTCTCTCTCTCTCTCTCTCTCTCTCTCTCTCTCTCTCTCTCTCTCTCTCTCTTTCTCTCTTTGTATATGTGTGTTTATGGGTGTGTTTTTTTACCAATGCATATAATCATTTTAGAATGGTTAATGTATAATGTGAGGTATGGAGCTAATCTTCTATTTTTTTTCCCTAATCATTGAATAACTCACTTTCTCCCTGGTTTTACAATCCTTTAAAATAATTATGAATACTAAAGTCTGTATTAAACTTTTATATTTTTGTTGATATTATGAAAGGGATTTTTTTTCCACATTATGATTTTGCTCTTGGTTTCTAGCTATTGGTTCTTACATAGTTTTTAACTAGCTACCCTTCTGAATTTTTTAATTAATAAATACTATTAGCTCTTAGATTTGACTTTTTGTATCTTCTAGGTATATAATCATCCAGTGTATAAACAAGGTTGATTTTGCTTCTTTTCAAATGGTAATGCTTCATTTCTGTTTTTTTTGCTTTATACAATGCTTGGAACTCTCAGATCAATGCTGGCTCATAGATATTTAAGGAAGTTAACTTTTCATCCTTCAATTTCTTCATCTATATAGATGGACTCATAGTTGTATGAACATCAGGATTGTTGGGAGAATTACATGAGTTAATAATACATGTAAAGTGCTTACAGCAGCTTCTAACACATAATTAGCATGTAAATTAGCTTTTGGACCCAATTTTCAACCAGAACTCTAGCTGAAAGAAACCTGAAAAATGCCCCTCTTAGGTTTTGCAGACTCCGCAGTTAGAAAGTGATGGTGGAATAGAACAGTTCTCCTCAGCTTTAATTTGCATACAAATCATCTCTTGTTAAATGCAGATTGTGATTTCATTGATCTGGGGTGAGGCCTTAGATTTTGCATCTCTAACAAGCTCCCAACACTGAGTGGCAAAGGACTAGAGGAGAAGCAAGACAAACCACTGTGTTCATCGTACTCTCTGTAATGATATATAGATATAAATGATATAGGTACAGAGATAGAAATAGAGGTAGAAGCAGAGATAGAGGTAGAGATATAGAGCTAGAGATAAAGATAGAGATAGAGGTAGAGATATAGACATAGAGATATATAGATTTGTTCTTGGTTCTACAACCAAGTGGTACTAAAGCAGACCAGAATGCAGGTCTCCAAGCTCCAAAGCCAGTGTTTTTCATATATAGAAAGAGCTCTCCTACATGATGGGTAAACAGTCACTGACAAATATCCTGCCCTCCCTTAGAATGTGTAGTTCAAAACTAGATACACTTCCTTTTAATGCAGCTTGCAAGCAATACTGTAACAAGAGCTATGAGTTTAGATGAATTTGGCCCTAAACTTAATCTCATATTGTTCTCAAGAATGTCCAGTCACTATAGTAACTGAGAGAGTAATTTTGCATATGGTAGACATTTTTTGTTCATTTTTTAATCATTATATCAGTGGTTCTTAACTGGGGCAATTTAGCTCATAGGGGACATTTGGCAATGTCTCAAGAGGTTTTTGATAAGACTGCTGGGGTGGCACTGGCATCTAATAGGTAGGTTCTAGGGCAGTGATGGCGAACCTATGACACGCGTGTCAGAGGTGACACGCAAACTCATTTTTTTGGTTGATTTTTCTTTGTTAAATGGCATTTAAATATATAAAATAAATGTCAAAAATATATATCTTTGTTTTACTATGGTTGCAAATATAAAAAAATTTCTACGTGTGACACGGCACCAGAGTTAAGTTAAGGATTTTGAAAATGCTGACATGCTGAGCTCAAAAGGTTCGCCATCACTGGTCTAGGGATACTGCTAAACATCCTATAATGCACACAACATTCCCTTCAACAAAGCATTATCTAACTCAAAATGTTAATAGTGCCGAAGTTGGGAAACCCTGGTCAAAATGTACTAGGGTTATAGTGCTTTCACATGTCAAAAATAATAACTCTGCTAATAGATATTCCAATACATATGTAAAAATTGTGTATTTTCTTGAAGTCTACATTCCAAAGAGGTAGTCTCCCAACTGATCTTTTTTGCATCCCTTCTTCTAGCAGCTCCT